TATCTGTAATAATTTTTATGATTGTAAAAACATCGTATCTCACAAAGTCAATAAAAATTTTTCGTAATTGGTATTAGATATTAAAAGTTCGACGTTTGTTTTTAATGAATTTAAATACAAAATTTAATCTGAGTTTTTAATTATTAAATTTATTTTTAAATTTATATGTACGTATATTTTAAAGTTGAAAAAACGCTTTAACAAACAGATCTGTTTATCTTCGTCATTCTCATCAGTTTACTCCTTCGAGTGTGGTACGTTTATCGAACATGTCGATGGCCGCATAGGAAGGTACAATTTGCCATTTCGAGTTGCCATGCTCCAATTTGTGAAACGACGAACGTGCAGGTAACGTATTGCGATGAAAAATAAGCGACTTTTATCGCGACGCTCCACCAAAATATGCTCGTGACTTATCGGTCGAAATTGGCAAATGACGCTGCTGCTTCCACGAAATTTGACATAACTGATTTACGTATTGCTTTTTAATTCGATCAGATATCTTCATCAAGGACACATCTGTTACGATTTCTTCATCGATAGTGATATCTATAGTGATTATATTGAATTATGATTAAATAAGACAAGTGTTGGTGATAGGAAGAAATTTTGTTTTCGATTTTTATTATATATAATGCAGATTTAAAATGTTATTAATAAATTTATTTATTTAGAATATGATACAGATTCTTAACAATTTTTAAGTTATAACACTTTGGTAGTTAAACTAAATCATATTATTTAAATCGATATCTTTTAAAAAGAACATTTTAAATATAAAACTTGTATCATATAAATCAAAATTATTTCTATAATTTATATATGTTCACTATTGTGTAAAAGGGAGAGAGAGAAAGAGAAAAAGAGATAAACATTTTTTATTTTAAATATAAAAAGAAGAAGCATCGTGTTTCTCGTCATGTTTCGAATCAGATAGTCTCGTTTATGATTTCAGTAGCTCTATCGTAAACCTGTCTTGTTCTGCGATACGCGTGAGTATACATATACCTGATAAGGTGCTCAGTTGACAGAAGCTTAGCTTTGTAATGCGCAAAATTATTCCGTGAAGCATTTTTCTGCGAGTGATCTCAATGAATGCATTTAACAAAAATAACACTGTGTATTTTTCACTAGATCTGATTAAGTCTGAGAGAGAAAGAGAGAGAACAAGAGAGAGTCGCATAAAAATTCCAATATTTGTTAATTATCATAAAACTATTGCACATTGAACACACAAAAGTATAATTCGCTCTTTAGAAAATATTACTCCATTTTTTAAATAAAAACCTAATATATTAATAAATATATTTATTTCTTATTTTTTATATGTACTTTTTTATAATATATCTTATTCTATTTTATTGCAACGATTAAAGATTTGTAATAATTTCTAAGAAATTTTGCCTTATATCTACAAATAAGATATTTACTTTATTTACGTAAATTATTTTTTATACAATTATATATCATTTTTACAATTATTTGTAAATAGTATTAATTATTAATACTATTCACGAATTGTATAAAATATTATATAATTATATATATAATACTATAAATAGTATTAATTATATATTTTATTATATAAGAAAAAAAACAAAAATTGAATATCAAACTAGATAAAATTATAATTAAATAAAATTAGAACTTACAAATTTTTTTCCAGATAATCTTTCAGATTTTTTGAAAAATAATTTTTAAGCATTCCCTCTCTCTCCTTTTTTCTCTCTACTTTTCTCTTTTTTTCTGTTCGTCTTTCGCTTTCTAGCAAGTTAACATCGCGGTTTCGCACGCGCATGGCGATCGATCGTCAAGCGTGGGAATGTCACTGCGCGATCAGCTGTCTAGTTACAAGGCCGCCACAAGGAGACATAGCACATTTTCATGACATTTCCGCTCGTCGCTCGCCTGTCGAAGCGAAATTTCCATCGCGCGTCCGCGCATTTTCCTAACGAAGGCTCCGTTTAACAAGAGAGAGACCGGATAGATGTCCAGCGCGGTGGAAACAATTGGTCAATTCAACCGCGTGTCCAATTACGAAATTGGCAATGATGAAAATACCAGGCCGGACTCTTAATTCGATTCAGCCAATTAGAATCTTCTCATTGTCCGTCCGTAGAGGGTTGAATACGCTTCTTGCGTCTCGCTCGTTGAGAGAAAATTTCTGCGGCAAACAGCATCGCTCGTTGTTGAATGACGTCTCTCTCGCATCCTGCAAGTTCTTCCGGAGCACTGAATATACGGAATTGCTATCGCCGAAATATAGTTGATTAACAAAGTTTCCCGTTTGTTGAATTCTTTCTCGGGGGCAGGTCTGAATTGCAATTAAAACTTGAGTAATAGACATGGGATATATAGCATGAAAGTACGTCAAGCTCGTAATTTCGCGTGAAGATCCTTGCAAAATGCTTCCTTGTTGTGCAATTGACAATTTAATCTAATAAGGAAAAAGCTCTGATGTTTATCAAAAATTTATTTTCTAATCTGATACTTGACAAGGAAAAAAACTACACCGAAGTTTTTTATAATTACTGGGGGAGCGTATAATGTGTGGAAACATCGGATCCATTATACTTTTACAGAATCTCTTCCTCCCCTATTCTTCTTCAAAATTAATTTGATATTCTTCATATACCCTTTAAATTTAATTCTACAAAAGTAAGAGTACAAAATAAGAGTAAACTAAAAGAGTTGCTAAACGATAACGACATTAATGTGAATAATTAGAATAAATAATTAAATAAATTGGCTAAATTTAGCAATACATTGATATATCTAGCACATTCATTAATTTTATTAGCAACATTTATTTAGCGCATTTGTTAAAATTACATTTGTATTTTTACAATAAAAAATATAAACTAAATAAAATTATAATTATCAATTAATAAAATAAATGTTATAATTAAAGTAAATTATAATAAATAAAATAATGATAATATTAACAAAATTCTGATCGTATAAAGTATCGATATTGTTTGTTTTTTGAAGAAGCACGCGTGTAAAAAGGAAAGACATTGTTTAGACGCAGAATGTTCCGCTCGTTTAATTACGATGCGATGATTCGCGAGATGCAGCGCAGCTCCACATAAATTGAAGAAAGTTTCGCATAAACAACGGTGTAGTCATTTTCTTGTTGGTCCGGAAACGGGTCAAGATCGCGCGGGGCGCCGAGATGTATGGGCGAATGTCGGAAAAAATATCTCGCAGCCGACCATGAATTAAACGGCTGCCCGATATCGCGAATTGCGTAATCAATCTAAGTGGCTGCTCGAACGCGATATCTGGAATATTGAGACACTCGAGTCTCGATAGTTAAATGCACAATCAAGATTCTCGGAATCCGTTTTTCTATTTCTGTCACGATTTTATCCCTTGCTAGATTAGTGACGCAATTAATGATGCATCATTTACACGATCTTTTTTGCTTTGTTTTTTTTTCTATAAATATAATACATTACACGAGGCATTATTTATCTGTTTGTCTGTGGTGAACTCACGTGCCCTTAAACGTCGATAAATCATGAATTTTACGATCGTTATCGTTAATATCGATTAATAATCTAATTAATCTTATCACTTTTGGATGTAGGAAAAATTGAACATGTGACGAGAGACAGTACTTATCAGGATGTTGTAATAATTATATTTATAAAATGAGTCTACATATTATAAATGTTTATTTATTTTTTATAATTTTACGATTTAAAATTGAATCTCTCTTGAGATCTCCTTAAACTTACAAAAGCACTGCAAATGTTGCGTTATAAGATAACATAAATGATGCAATCAGAATTTTTAGATTTGCTCTCGGAAAACAGATATTTCTCAACAATGATTTCAATGAAATTATCGATAACTCTTTGCCAGATGATCGCCGTTATTATCTCTTACCTTGTCCTATCGTTGGGTGGTTATTATATCGAATTGACTCGATTATAGATTATCTTATTAAGGCAAACTCGCAACGTGATCTCGAGACTTTCGATTGAGAGTTTAAGGTCGTTTGGAAAAGGCTATAAAAAAGGCACGTAATAAAAAATACATTAGAAAATATTGAAGTTTGCGATATGTTTACAGATACGGCAATCAGATCTATTAACTTGAGTCTGTTGACAGGACTTATTGTATTACTATTGTTTATATTAAATATATATTTTTTATATTTAAAATATATATATATTTAAAATATATATTTTTGTTTTATTTCAATATTTTTTTTTGTATCTTTTCATACATATGTATGTGTGTACATGCGTACAAAAGGATAATTTATTTGATTTGATTTTATTAATTTTTAAAAATTTATAATAATTTTTAGTTATCGATGAGTTTTCATCGATTTTTCCTCAATCTTCTCCATATATGCTCGCGTGTCATATTTTAGGGACAGAGAAAATACAAGCGGTGCAAAGCAATTAAATTTTTAATAATCTCGTCGTCTTTCTCAAAGTTTAATATTTACAGAATTATATTTATATTCCGTAGCACTAAAAGATGATCGTGTGCGTCTAAAATTACAAAACATTGTTTGCAATTCTCTCACGAGGGAGGCAAAGCCTCGAGAATTAGACTTTTATCTTTTAATTAGACACTTAACGTTTGGAAGCACGATGCGCATTAATATTCCGACACGCACACGTTAAAAGCTCCATCTCGGAGCGCACACGTGCGGATGTTTGCGGAACGTTTAAAAAATTTTACGACACGCTTTTACGCGCTATTTTTATCAACGGTATCGCGTAAACGATATTCGGACTCAAAAAGGGTCGCGGAATCTGGGCTGCTTCCTCTGGTTCACGACGGTTGAACCGCCGTCAGGATCAGCGGGATCTCGTGCGTATCCTCCCGTCCACGTACATACGCGTGTTTATCGCGACATTGAGGTGGGGGATGCGGCACGAAAGAGAGAGGGGGAGGGGAGAGAGAAAGAGAAAGACGGACTGTGAGAACCAGGCACCAGGCAGGCAGTACGCGTATAAATACAAGCGGTCGCGTCCGTACGCGCTTAGTTGCTGCGATACTCGATCCACGTGACGGCCGTCGATCGAAGTCGTGCCTTTCGAGTCTCGTTCGACGCTTTCGTTCCCGCGCTTTCGAACCCGAGCTCTCGCGGATTTGCGTACGTGTTTGTGCACGCGTGTGTGTGTGTCCGTTCGCCCGATAACGAGAGCGAGTCGAGAAAGGAATAGGAAAAAAAAGGGGGACGCCGTGAAAGAGCCACTCTTCGCCACCGGCCTCGTACTTGTACACTTGTTCGAAAAGAAACAAGAGCGGAGAAAAGGGAACGTAATTGATCGATTAATTAGATCGATAGACGATCCGAAAAACGGAGCGGTTCGCTTCGAGATTGAATACATCCAGGATAAATAGATAAACAGCTGATCCGGCCGCGTGCTCTTCTGCCTACGGGCGTGTCCGCCGATCGGAGCACATGCACAAAAATGCGTGCACGCACGTATACGTGATAGCGTGCGTTTCGCGAGAGCGACCGCGTCGACGGCGTCGCCGGCGTCGGGAGTGAAAAGGCGGTCGACCGCTTTGGCTGCTTTCACCGACGAGGCGCGCCAGGTGGAATTGACGCTGGCGATCGCGCTTTAACGTTCCGTTTCGTCGTCCGTGCCTTCCTTTTCTCTTTCTCCTCCTCGTCGCGCGAAAAATGGCGTTCGTCCGTCGTCGGTAATCATCATCGAATACATTTCTCCGACGATTATCGAAAGGCTACGATAAGGATATTGCACCTTGCAGTATCCGAGTATCCACCGCGCGATTTATCGAAAAGCGACCGAGTGCCGCGAGAGATTTCCTTTGGTGTTTTCAAAGTTTGCGGACACCGCAGCGTAACCTTCAGCAACCTCGTGTACAATAATATTGAATTGTATAATATATTGAATCAACCGCAAGACACTCGTGGCGTGTATTCGTTCGCGTGTATTTAAAATCTCACTGAGATTTGCTTACGGTTGCCCGATCTGTGGATATCTAATCTGTGAGAAGCGTTATCTCCGAGCGACTAATCCGGTCAACGCCTTCGTGACGAAAACGAATTCTTGAGAACTAATCTGGTAAAATCGGTGGATATATACGTACTCCTGTACCCATCGTACGGTTCTTCGATCCTCTGCTGGCGTACAAGATATATACGAAGATATCTCTTCGCGAAAGAGAGCGATCCTTTCGATGCGGATTCACTTTACCCTCTGGCCTTCGACGACCTCGCGACCGTAAGACATTAACCTGGCATTAGCGATCGACGGGGAAATTAACATCTCTCAACGCCGGTCGATGTGTAGTCAAGTAGTAAATACTTAATCTAGACGCGAGTCGACCTTCGACGTGACCCCGATACAAGATACGAGAGCTCGACGCTCTCTGCGATGCGCAGATTGTGAACTCGTTCGTCTTAAGGACGACGTTGGCCGTTTAGAATGGAGACAGCCAAGATGTACATCAGCAACGAGCCGCAGAACGGTCACACGACCACCAAGTACGCCTCGACGAATTCCATCCCGGCGATGATGGAACAGGAGTCTTCGTTGGCGAGAATCCTCGGGGCTGTCGGCCGGCAACGCGAAAACGCGGCGATTCTGCGGGAGTCCTCCAAGAGTCGTCGGCACAGCGTCCTCGAGGATCTGAAGGCTCGACGGGACAGCCTCTTTCAGAGGGCTCGTCGAGCCAGCGTGTTCGACGAGAAGGACAACAACGCTAAAGACATCGCCAAGAACAGTGCCAAGGATAATATCAAGGATAATACCAAGGATAATGCCAAGGATAACGCCAAGGACAGTAATGCGAAAGACAAGCCGAAGGACAAGAGGAGGAGCAGCGACAGTGGCAGAAGGAATTCCGTGTTCTACGTGTCCGAGGATCTGCTGGAGGAGAATCAGGAGATGCCGGAGAACGAGAATTGCGACCGCACGGTCCAGGAAGCCAAGAAGGGACGCCGCAAGTCCTGGCATCCGCTTGTTAAGCCACCCAAGTTGGATAGGAAGAGGAGGAAGGGCGTATCCGGTATTCCCTCGCAGACCGGCAGCACGGAGGGGCTTTATTCGCAGAATTATTCGCGTCAGAAGAGACCGTCCTGGTGGAACATCTTTGTACCGGATTCGGTTGTCAGGTATTTATTCATCTCGCGATTGTTGTTTCATTATTAGGAAAGTGAATACCGGTTGCTTTACAAATAATCGCGTAGTTATTGGAGCGATTTCTGGAAGCCCGGGGTAATTTCGATTTAGGATAATCGAGGTAAGAAAATGAAGCACATGAAAAGATGGTAATTAAAAGTGTGAATTAAATCCTGAATGTTATTAGTACATACGTATACCATATGGGTGTTCTTAATAAGTGCGAAAAAGGAGATGATTCTTTGTTAACAATTAAGGAGGGTTTTTCACATAAACATATACTCTTACGTCTCTCTCTCTGTGGAGTTACACTCCTCCAAAAATGAGGATAAAAATTAGGTTTTTATTATAATTTTGTTTTTGTTCCAATTTTCCCAACATTTACTCTCCAATTTTAAAGTTCAACTTCTCGTAATTCAAAGCTATTTATTTTTTTTCTTGAAAACTACTGATTTTATGGAAAAAAATAAAAGAAATAAAAAAGTTTCTAAATAAATCAACTTTTTAATTTTTTTTATATGATCATATCCCGGCTCATTAAAAAGTTCTAAGAAAAAAGTGAATAAGGGTTGCTAGTTTCATTCCAATACAGGAAGCTGTAAAAAAATATTAATAAATAATCTTACTAGTAGAAAATATCCACTTAATTTCATTTCTTTAACTTGTTTCAAATTTGAGAAAAAAATAAAAAGCTAATTTTTACTTCCATTTTTGATGGAGTGTAACCACAGGGGAAATGTAGGAGTATATATTTATACGAAAAAGCCCCCTTAATTTTCGACAAAGCATCATCTCCTAAATAATAATATTTGCACTTTTAGGAACACTTAAAATAGATAAGAAAGAGGAAAAGAAAGAAAAGGAATTTGCGATTCGCACGTGAGGAATATTACTGTCTGAATTTCATTTCATATTTACATTGTTTAATTATTTGATAAAAATGTCATAGTTAATTTGAACGAATTATTTATTCGTTTGTAATTAATACTTATGAAACGATTACTTTGCCGTAATTTACGTAAAAACTTCATTTTTCGCAACAGCAAAGAAATTGTGTGATAAAATACAAGTAAATGATACGAAATGCTGCAAACGACCGATTTATTCCGAGCGATAATCTCTCTCAAATATTTATATCCAATTCACGATGACTTTCATATTGATATATTTTGTACGTGTTTCTGCCTCCAATTCTGACAATTAAGATAGCGTGCAGTCTCGATATTGAATTAATTCTCAATAATTTTCAATAATTCCATGAAAATTATATCTTCCACAATTTCATGTCAATGTAATTTTAAACCATAATATTACAATTAATTTGTGTGTATCACCGAATAATTTCAAATTATCATCGTGTTATAATAATAATAAAAATATTGTATCGTCAATAATGTCAAATCGTCGTTATATTATCAGGTGAATAATATAATTTCGTAATTCATTTTTCAAGTTACATTTTCATCAGTATTTTGATTGTGTGTTGATATACTATACAAGTAGGCGATTCGATTTGAAAGGAAAAGTGTTATTTAAGTAAATATTTGGAAATGTCACTATCACATCGAAATTATTATCTGGGCTAGAGGAAATCTTTTGTCGTTTACCAGACGATGAGAAAGCATCACCGTTTCTCAGATAACGGTACGTTCGTCGTAACGGTATTTTGCGAGAATAATGACAAATCGCAGATGTTTGCGCGACGCACGAGAAAATTTCGAGAAATTTCGATTAAAAATCGTACTTATCTAAAGGAAGGGTATTATAAGATTTTTTTTTAAATCCAAACAATTGAACCTGTCTTCAAACTTTGAGTGCACATGTTTAAAGACTTAATCTATTTTTCCATAAAATATACTCTTTCGAAAAAGGAATATGGAGTAAAGAATTGATTCACTTTACAATTTAGAGTGGAAAATATTATTAGTAAAAACAACGGTTATTTCGAATAAGAAATATGATAAAAGGGATTAATCGTAAGATAAAAATAAATAAGATTTTCGAAATGTTCCGATTAAATCGAGATTAAATTCTGGCGTCATCCTGTTTTCATTCAGTATTCCAACTGAAAATAACGTGACGTTTTTATTACGAGAAAATGGAATTTTCGACACTTTAATATTTTCACGCACACAGTGTCCGAGAAAATTTCATGAAAGTTCCCTCGTTGCATTGCGATCTCGCGATTTCTCTACGAGAGACTTATTCGCGGAAGTCATCGTGAAAAGTGCCGCCAGTTTGCCTTCACAAGTCGCTATAAAATTTATCAAGCTTGCGGAACCGAACGATTATTCCGATGAACATACTTGGCGAATAATCGAACGTAGAAAGTTCCGATTTTAATTGCATTACATAACTCACGTGCGATTTCTCGAATATTATGCAAACTTGAAAAAAATAGATCTTATTCTATTTATAAATTATTTGCAGGAATTTTATTTTAAAAATAGTCAACCTTTTTCGAAGAGAAAATTAATTTGATTGATGGACTAAATTAAATTCTCTCTCGCATAAAAAGTTTAGCGATTCATTTCTTTTTTTTTTTTAAAGTTTAACTATTATTGTGTATTGGGATTTTTTTAAGTTGGAACAAAATAGTTAATTAAGCTGAAAAATAATTTTAAGATTTAATTGATCTGAAAAATAATTTTAAGATTTCTTTAAAAGACATTATGCACATAATAATATGTATGTGTCTATAAAGTTTTATACATATTCCGTTTTTATTGTATTTACTTTCTATACGTTTTATTAGTGTGTATATATTTACTATAAAATGCACTTAAATTTCTAGCGAAACGCTAAAATATAAAAGCGGAATATTTCACGCGATAACAGTTTTCAGAAATCATAAACAATTCTTATTTGCGCGAATAGCATTTGATATCGTTTTTCCCCGTACAATAGAACCGGAAACAATAATCACATTCAAATCTCTCGTCATCGTTTTTTAAATTGTCAACACTCCGTTAACACATCGTCTGATAACAACGTCTACAAATTTATATTATTTAATCAGCATTATACTGATGACATTTGTTTTATATACAACTCATTACGATTCTCATTGTTAACGCATTGTTATCGACATTAAAATTATGCGTTAAAAAACAACTTAAACTTCAAAATTCGAGAGATCGCGGCTTTTTTAATTAGATTTATTTTTCCGTAATTTTAACATAGAGGAAATAATTATATTTTTTTATAATAATAAGATAATAAGATAATTCATCCACTGTTTTAATCCTCTAGAACTACTTTTCGATTGACACATTAATTAAAAGCTAGAAATTAATTGCCTAAGGAATTAAAGAAATATATTTCGGTTTATTATACATTGTTCGAAACAAAGAAATGTTAATTTCAACGCGATCATTCAACGTGTTTCTTTTCGTAATTCTTTTTGACATTTTTTGCGTGAAACTCGCGCAATTCAAAAAATTCGGACTCGTCAGGATGTCAAGATGGATCACTCGAACAAGGATGCAGGCGAGCCTCTTTGCGAATCGCTCAAACCGGTCGTGAATGTCTTAAAATAGCCTTCCCTTTCGTTATCTTTTTTCCTTTCGTGGCTCCTCGCCGCTTTTCTCTTTTCAAGCAAAGAAATGTTTTTCAAATACGAAATATTTTAGGCTTCAATACCTTCTCATTAATTGCATTAATTACATCTCGATGCGTGTAATTATATTTTATATGTAATCATTCTTTTTCTTTGAAATAATACAACATTCAACAATTTTGGGATGGCACAATATATAACTTTCCAAAGCCATTATCTTATCACGCGCTTTTTTACTTTTGAATTTCATTATTATTTTAATTAAAACAGTCGCGGAACATTTGATCGTACAATAGCAGTAATTTACGCAGACGTCTCATTTTTCGAAATTTTGTTTTAATTTTTTTCGAAGTGTAAATATGTGATCAAAGATATCATGTATGCATCGGATATTTACGTAGTAATTACTTATACAAAGTAGGTAAATTACGTACATAAAAGCGAATACGATATCGAATCTTGAAGGCAGATGTTACACATGTATTTAAATACATTGCGATATTATATAATTTGCAAGCTCCTCCAATCGTCTTTTTATAAATCGAAAATTACCGAGTGTCATGTCCCGTTTTGCATTTTATAGAAAAGGTTTTGCATAATCGTATTTGCAATCGGTTATTACTTTTCTTTCTCTAATATCTTTAGATGATGATTATGTATTTTATTCGAGGATCTTATCGCGCTTTGGCCACATGTTATGCAAACGACAACGATTATTGTCACACAAAATATCAGTGCTGAACTCGACGAAACGACTAGTCGCTTCGATAAAAGAGAAAATGAAGCATTTCATAAACGCAAAAGATAGAATATTTTTAATGTTTTTGTTAAAAACAATTTTTTTAATAATCTTTACATGATTCTGAAATTTTTTAAATTAAATTTTATTATTAAAAAAGAGCGTTTGTTAAATGGAAGTTTGAGATTAAATGAAAAGAATAGTTTTGTAATTTTTACTAATATGCATTTAGTTTAATAAAATTGTAAAAATCTTTTCTATTTGTTTATTCTGATCTTAATCATAGTGTACAAGTGTATAATTTATTGAAAACTTAGCTCACCACGTCATCGATAAAATTTAAAATTATAAAAAAAAAAATCAAAAAATCTAATCTTTTATCAAAATCTCGATAGACGAAAGAGAGAGCTAAATAGCTAAAAAAAATCTCATGTTAAATAATTAATATTTTCTTACATTATATTTTAAAATGTTCGATATTTTTGTCACATTTTAAAACACGAAATACAAGAATGTTCTTGACGGATAGACGAGCGATTGACAATGCTATCTTAAGCAGTTGTCCCATTTATATCGTGAGACTCCTTTAAGCACGCAAGGTGTGTCCTTATGCGTTAGTCGCTTGCGTAAAGTGCGTGCGACGCAGTTGAGTGAGACGGGACACGCCGTTACGCTCTGATTCCACCATTTCTGAT